ATACTGCCAGAGCCGCCGAGACTGCCTCACCTCATGCCGGGGGAAAGTCACACTCACAGGTGAGTTCCTTGCCCCACCCCTACCCCCTCCCCTTCCCCAGACACCCCCAGCAGCCAATCCCCTCCCTCAGACTCTGCTGCATTTGGCTCTCTCTAGGACCCAGCAGCCCTGTTCTTACATCTCCACTGCTTCCCCAGAGTGGTGCTCCCAGGCAGAGTGGTGCCCTAAGCGGCTGCCTATTCTGCCTATAGCTAAGGACGGCCCTGGCTGGAAATGGTGGCCATTTTGAATAAGGGCAGTTTGACTCTACCCCCCTGAAAGTAATGGGAGGTGGTGGCCATATAAAACAAGGGAGAATGTGTGAGTTCTGTGTCAGGAATCATGTGAAATGTCCAAGAATCCCAACTAAATATTGTGAGACTCATGATAAAATCACCGGAGTTGGCAGCTCTTGGCATCACGGTTTCACCATAAAAATAGTGTGTTTTTAATGACAGCTTTGAGAAATGTCCCCTTCCCCAGGGAAAATTTCCTGCTCTCTGTGGGGTGGGGGTGAGGGATTTTGCAGCCCTGCCTGTGACTGAGCTGGTGGGATTGTTACCCTGGCATCAGGTTCTGAGAGGGGGACTCTGGCTGTTTCAGGGGCTGGTGACCTTCGAGGAGGTGGCTGTGTATTTTACTGAAGAGCAATGGGCTCTGCTGGACCCCAGTCAGAGAGCCCTCTACAGGGACGTCATGCAGCAGAACTATGAGAATGTGACCTCGCTGGGTAAGGATTCCTGTCCCCTTGGGTATTAGAAGGAGTGGAGGAGGGTCTCTGAAGCATCCGGGTCGGCTTCTGCTCAGGGTTCATCCCCGGTCCCTTAGATTTCAGGAGGATCAGCCCCAGAAACCATGTGAGAGAGACTGTTCCCTCCTGATACCCCTCTCAGGGGAGAGGAGATTCAGAGACATAGTGGAGAAGCTCATCCCCAGAACTTCCAAGGGAGGGGATGGGCTGTATGTAGCACTCTGTGTTTCTAAACACGGGCTCACACACAGAGAGATGTCTCCTCTCCATCCTTTCCCAGAACTATCTCCATGGCTGGAAAGGGCTGTGGTCTCAGCAGGGCTAGGAAGGAGTAAGAGGCTGCACAACTGTGTTGTGCCAAAGTCATAAAAAACCGTGTGTGTGGAGATCGCTGAACCTCCTGCAGGGGGAGCTGTACACCTCCCAAGAACCATCTGACCTCCCCAAAGGGTCTTCAGGAACATCTGTTTGGCTTATGCAGCTCTGGTTGATGAAGGCAGCTGTGTTGATATAGTATACTTGGATTTCTTCAGGGCATTTGACTTGGTACCACATGACATTTTGATTTAAAAAGCTTGTCTTATATGGAATAAACAAGATCACACAGTAGATGGATTCACAGCTGGCTCATTTACGGATCTCAAAATGTTTTTGTTAATGGGGAGAAGTCAATGAGCAGGGCTGTTTCTAGTGGGTGCTCTAGGGATCAGTTCTTGGTCCAACACTACTTAATATTTTCATCAACAATCTTCATGTAAGCAGAGTCAGGATGAGCTCTACCCTGACATCTGGTGGTGAATTATGGCGAGTGTGGAAAAGAACTCCAAGGGCTGATCTTGTTTGCATAGGCACACCCACTCGCCTGGCATGAAACAACAGCAACTCAAAGTGGTTACTTTGGCTGGTGTGGGATCCCCAGTTTCTCTGTTATTGGGGCAGGAAGAATAAAGTTTTGTTATCCTGATTCTGTGAATCAAGGCCAGTGGAACTGTTGTATGACAGAAGGACTGAGTGAGTCCTTCTCCATTATCTAAGAAGCACTTGCTTGACAAGAGGCATGGGTTACAAAACCCAGTGAATTGAGAGAGGATGGGGATAGGTATTTGTACTTGATAGTATGGGCTCTCTTTGAGGGTTTGAAACACCAATTGCACTACCTCCTCTCTCCACTGTTGAATGTCAGAGCTAACTTTGGAGTCTAGTTACAGGCTGCTGAGCTGAATTCACTTTGGGCCAATGGTGCACTAGCACTGGAGCTCCCTACTATGAGCTGAAATTGCTAAGAGCTGAAATCACAAAAGAGCTACAGTTACCAAGAGCTGAGATCACTGAGGCTATGTTAACTAGTGGGGGAGCCTGACGCTATATTGCTAAGCGGCTGGCGGAGCAGCTAGTAGAGTGGAGCCTCCCCAGGATGGTTGGAGCGGAGCGGAGCTGAGCGGCTCACAGGTCGGTGAGCGGAGCGGCTGGAGGAGCAGCTAGCAGAGCAGCGCGGAGCCTTGTGGGAGCGGCCCAAGGGACGGCTGAAGTGGAGCAGAGCTGAGCAGCTCACAGGTTGGTGAGAGGAGTGGAGCAGCTGCCGGAGCAGTTTGTGGGACGGCAGGAGCGGCTCATGGGACAGCTGGTGGAGTGGAGCGGCTTGTGTTGAAGGCTGCGGTGGAACCCCACGGAGAGGCAGCCGGTCGGCCTCGGATCACATAAGGTGCCCCTTAACACCCTGCATGCCCCCCCCCTTTGAACTCTGGGGCTGCATTGACCAGGGACAGAGACTTTGGGGGGTTGTTGGATTTTTACATTTTCTGCTACACTCAGACTCCGTGCTTGCGAGAGGGGAAGTATTGCCTCTTAGAGGCACCCAGGGGGTGGTATGTAATTGTCCCAGGTCACTGGGTGGGGGCTTGAGCCGGTTTTGCATTGCGTTATTGAAGCGGAACCCCTAGATACAGAACCCGGCCCTTGTTGCTGCCAACTTAGATGGGCAGAAGGGTTACATTCATGATGATGTAAAATCTTTGCTGGTAAGTTTTGTGGATGACACAAAAATTAGTGGAGTATCAATAACAAGGAGGACAGGTTATCGTTACCAAGTGATCTGAATTTCCTGCTTAAATGGTCATAATCCAATAAAATGTGTTTTAGTACCTGTACAGCCAAATGCAAGGTAATACATCTGAGAAAACAAGAATTCAGATTATACCTATAGCATGAAAAATTCTGGGCTTGGCTACTCTACAGAGGCTAGAGCAGCATAGCTACTGCACTGTAGCTGCGCTGGCATAACCCCATAGATGTAGCCAAATCTGACCTTCTGAAATAAAAAAATCATAGTTGATGACCTGGGTTTCATTTTCTTTCCTTTTAATTTAAACTGAATCAACCTGTGACTAGAGCCAAGGTTATTTCCTACGACCTTCTATGATGTCCTCACTACTTACTAAAACCAAGTCTACAATTGCATCAACTCTGTTGGTTTGGTGACCATTTGATGAAGAAACTGTCGACATTGTAGATAATCATGCAGCGCTGTGGCAAAAAGGACTCATGCAATCCTTGGGTGTATAAAAAGGGGAGTATTCGGCAGAAGCGAGGAAGAGATCGTGCCTGTATACGCAGCATTGGTGAGACCACTGCTGGAATACTGCCTCCAGTTCTGGTGTCCACACTTCAAGATGGATGTGGGAACATTGGAGAGAGTTCAAAGGAGGAACACAACAACGACCCTGGGGCTGGAAGACAGTCCTTTCCATTGGAGGAGCTCAACGTATCCAGCTTATTGAAGAGAAGGTTGAGAGTGGACTTGATCAGTGTGTATAGGTACTTACACATGGAAAATAGATTTGATAATGGCAGGTGGCGGGGGGGGGGAGGGCTTTTAAGCCTTGCTCAGGAAGGAATAACTTGAAGCAGTGGCTGGAAGCTGAAGTTACACAAATTCTTCCTTAAAATAAGATGCAATTTCCCAGCAGTGAGGCTAATTAAACATTGGCACCATCTTACCAAGGGGGGTAGGGGACTCATCATCGCTTTGAGTCTTTAAAGTGAAATTATTTCTCTCTTAAAAAAAAATGCTTTAATCCAGTTTCTGGGGGATGTTTTGTGGCCTGGGCTGAGGCAGGGTAGATGGTTGTAGTGGAACTCAGAGTCCCACCCCTCCACTCCCCGCAACCTCAGTGCCGCCCTCACCTGAGCCCCCAACCTCTCTTCCCTCCCCAATCATCAACCCCATTTATACCCCTCTTCCCTTATTCCCCCACTCCTCTGCCCCCTCGGTATCTCTTCCCTCCCAGGAGGCATTCACATGTCTGTTTCTCCCTACCCCCAAAGATTTTGATTACATTCTCCCCAAAATGAAATTGTCACCCATGATTCACAAATTGTAGCAACCTCTGGCCACTCAGTCCAAAACTTATTTTGTCTTAGATGGGGGCTTATGATTAACTTATCCTTAGTTATACTAATTGAAGGGTGAATTCATAGCGATCAGTCTCAGCGAGGTCTGTGATTCATCCAGTCACTAGTACCTCTCAGTTCAACATTACAAGGCAGCAGAAGGACATTTTTGAGGGGACCTGTAACTCGAGAACCCCTCAAAAGACCCCCAATTTGGGTCACTAATGCTACCCAACATCCCAAAGAGGCACACAAAATGCAAAGTGATCTGAGTAACCATTCAGTTTTTAGAGCACTTACAAGAGTTGAGCTTTAAAGCCTATAAAATGGCAGGAATGGAAACCCGCTAACTGTTTTTCTGTATTGGTGCATACATACTGTAAAAAATGCACATGTTCTTAAATCACATTCTCAGTCTGCATCCCCCAAAGATTTAGGGGTGCCATGCACTATTTTGGGTAAAACTCAACAGATTGCGATCATTCTGCCCTGCATCACTTCAATAGTTTGATCTCTAGCCCTATGCAAAAAGATAAATAAATAAATAAATAAATAAATAAATGTAGAAACTCCTTTAAAAAATGGCTATTTTTCTCAGGCCTTATATCTCTTGCACCTCTAGCTCAAATGACCCAAGTTTGGGTCACTAACTGCACCCAACACCCTCCAAAACCCTGCACCAAATTTTAAAGGAGTCTGACAAAGGATGTTAATTTTAGAGGACTTAGAAAAGTCAACCTTTTAACAGAAGTCGTCATTCAACCGTCACTATAGTGGCACTGCCATGCCAGTACAATTTCCTGGTTTTTCAGAAGTTTGAGTTTGAAATACTTTAACTCTGTATTTCCTGGGTTTTTGGAGGTTTGGGTGTCACTGAATTTATTAAAGGTTATTTTGTTTGTTTTGTCATTGAATAATGATTATAATAATTTTTTGTGGCTTCGGTTGGTCATTTATAGTGGTCAGGAACTGGGCCGGCTCCAGGCACCAGCAGAGAAAGCAGGTGCTTGGGGTGGCCAATGGAGAGGGGTGGCACGTCCGGGTCCTCGGCTGCAATTAGTTGGCGGGTCCCTCACTCCCTCTCGGAGGGAAGGACTCGCCGCCGAATTGCTGCCGAAGAATGAAGCCGGTAGAGCTGCCGCAGAAGTGCTGCCGTGCCGGTAGAGCTGCCGCAGAAGTGCTGCCGTGCCGGTAGAGCTGCCGCAGAAGTGCCACCGATCGCGGCATTTTTTTTTATTTTTTTGCTTCGCTGCTTGGAGCGGTAAAAAAGCTGGAGCTGGCCCTGGTCAGGAAAGAATATTTTTCCCCAATGTACAAATGGCTAGTTGTGTTCTAGGATGGGGTCTTTGTTTGTATGTTTTCCTCCTCTGAAGCATAAGAGATTGGCCACAGTTGAAGAGAGGACACCAGATGGGGTGGACCAGTACTTCGAGGTGGTACAGAAAACCCTCTTTCTAGATTCTTGGCTGGTGTGTCTTACTCACATGCTCAGGGTCAAACGGATCACCTGATTTGGGATT